AACTTCCTCCGCCCGCTCTACAGCCCTTTGCCCATCTCCAGCGGGGCGCCGGTATTTCACCCGGGCTTCTGCCGGTCGTGGAGACGTCTCCGTCGGGTACTCTTCTCTGCCGGGCAACTCGGTACGTCGAGACTATCTCCCCACGGGAATTTACATGCTAGTGTAAAGGGTATTGCAAGTAACTTTTATAAGACTTCCTAGAGTTTACTCGCCTGTGGAAACCTGGCCTTAGTCATTCGATAGAGGGTTCCACAAATAATTTGCTTTTATAGCACTCTTTGTTTTTTTAGAAGTAAAATCCCAAAAAATGCGAAATGCCTACGCGCCTGTTCGAGGATTAATTAATTTTTATACACTGTTCACTTTCGTTTATTAATGCTTGAAGAAAATGAACATATGAACGAATAATTGGTTAATATATAACTTTATGTGCAGGATCCGAAGAATTGGCCAAGGAACGTGTGTCTGAAGCTCACGAAAAGTCAACTCAGTCTTCTGGGAATGGAACCAGTGAAGCGTTTTCGAAAATACGCGAACTTCCCCGAGCGCTTACTAAACTTCTGGGAAACCCAGCGTTTTTTATGCTTAACCTTGCTGGAGCAAGTGAGGGTTTACTTATCGCTGGATTTGCTGCTTTTCTACCTAAACTCATTGAAAATCAGTTTAGCGTTAGTGCCAGTTCAGCCGCATTACTTATGGGTGAGTTAAGTCAATGTTAATATTAGGTATGTTATATGGTAGTTCTAACAGAGTCATAATAATAACATTTCTGTAAAATAAGTTATAATTCTTAATGTCTTAATGAACGTCGTATTATACAGGGTGTTCGTTATGAAACGCACTGTAGTAACATCGTTGCATTCCTTGTCAAATTCCAAAGAATACGTGTATTTTCATTTTTTATTTCAAATATCAAAATTTCGAGATAATCAAGGTTGAAGTTGCAGTAATGCGACCAATCAGAACGTGTTTAAACGGAGCGTAGATGACGTCGCGAGCCAGCCCGCAAGGCCTGCTTACAGGAGGCTAATAACACTAAGATTATCGTC